CCCTGCTAAGTTCCAGCCCCCACGTTCACCGGTTCTCGAAGTCGTCTTCCCGCCGAAAAATCCGCAAAAGTTTGCATTTTTAGAGACGTCCGTATGTGAGGTCTAAGCGCGCATGAGGGCTGGATTTAAAAAGGGAGGGTGACACGCGGCTGAAATATTCCCTCCAAACTTCAATCTCGCAGCTTTCCCCGCTGCAGAAGTGAAAATGGGTGACAAAATTCATTCTCTTTAAATACACACACATGCAGACTCTCGAGAGGCATGCGTTTTTGCATTTTCATGAAATGCAAACGCAAAGTCGTTCCAATATGCGTTTTTGCTGCCTGTTGCAGCGCTCTAACGCTGCACGGCAAAAACGCATAAACCCAGGCTGGAACGCCAGGCGGGCCGGTGCGATTATGCGTTTTTGCACTTTTCGTACCATAGCAAGATCGCAAGGAGTCAGTGTAGAGGCGGGCCGGTGCGATTATGCGTTTTTGCACTTTTCGTGCCGTAGCAAGATCGCAAGGAATCAAATTAGCTAACCCTGTGCTTGCGATTATGCGTTTTTGCACTTTTCGTGCCGTAGCAAGATCGCAAGGAATCGAAGTAGCTAACCCCGTGAAATACTGGCCCTCGAAGTTCGGGGAGTTAATTGTGCAACTGGTGGTATGTCAGTTGTAGGTGTCGACTTCAGTGACCCGACAAATGGGAAAGTTGCTGGTCCGCAAAGAAAGGTGGTATGTCAGTTGTAGGTGTCGACTTCAGTGACCCGACAAATGGGAAGTTGCTGGTCCGCAAAAAAAGGCCACGCTAGAACAGTTAAATTTAAATCTTTTAGTCGCACGTGAGCAGAGAACATACCCTTAAAATTAAAGCCTTCAGCTTTTCCTTTTCCCGAATTAGCATTTTTCCCATCAAAATTTTCACGTGTCCGTGCATGACTGCCGGACGGTTTTACGGAGTTGAATTTAAAATTTTCTGGCCAAACATGAGTAGGGAACATTCCCTGAAAGTTTCAGCTTTCTAACTTTCCCCGCTCCCGGGTTAGTAGAGTTTTCGCACCAAAATCTTCACATGCCCATACGTGGGCTTGGGCGCTCCTAAACACCTGATTTTGCTCGTAGATGAGTAGGAAACGTTCTCCTAGAGTTTCAGCTTTCTAGCTTTTCCCGTTCCTGGATTAGTAATTTTCGCGCCAAAATTCCCACGCCCTTCCATGTGGGCCGCAAGCGCTTCTAAACATCTGATTTTGCCCGTACATGAATAC